TTGCTTGTGCCTCTGAAAGAAAATCTATTCCTAAGATAATATGTGCTTGCAGATTCTTTACTATGAAACTTGTTCGTCCTTGATACGGACGTATAGCGGTAATTTACCTATGCACTTACATCTTTCTCCTTTCGCAGCTAACACTGTCGTATTATCCGAATTATATATGCGATATTTACGAAAATACTTCCTAAAAAAATCTTCTGCCACACAGGAGCACTGCGCGCCTGTATCCAGGAGTGCGGTGGCTGGGATATTATTCACCAACACTTCAATCTTCGGAAGAGTCAAATTTTTCACCATTACTGTATTTAACTTGAAGGAAGAGGGGTTTTCTTGGCCTTCGGATTTCCGCACCCTCCCGTCAGCAGAAATCCGTTTTAGTTTAAATCATTTTTTCATTTCCATGCTTTCCTTCTTTTTCCACTGGCCTTGAGACTTTTTTTCTGGATTGCTATTGAACTGTCGACGTTCACCGGCTGTTTTTGGATGCTCGGGTTTCCTTGCCCACTGATTCGCTTTGCTTCCGTAGCCGTGTGCTTGACTTCGCTGTGGTCTTGGCTCACCAAATTGGTTTCGTTTTTGATATTGGCGTCTTCTTTCAATGTCCGCCGTTCTTCTACTTTCAAACTGGATTGCTAGCTCAAATAATTTTTCCAGTGTAGTCGGATTCCTTAATTCAATAAAGTCTTGTACTTGGGGAAGTAACCTCGGCAAAATCACTTGAATTATCTCAGGATCCGGACGGTTTCCATACAAGAGTTTCAAGACGTGAATTTTTCTTAAAATAAAGCTTGAGAGATTTTCGATTCTTTGCTGATATATGCTGAAAAGTTCCGTTTCTAATTTCGCACGATCCCTTACGACAGGGAAGGCTTTTACTAGGGCAGTCTTGAAATTTTCGTAAGTATAGGTGGGACTTCCTGCTTGACCCAAGAGACTTCTGTCTATACATTTGAACCAATTAAGCGCTTGGCCCCTCAAGCCCCGCTGGTAGCTAATGTGACTTTTTGGAACTCGTGCACGGGATACATCATGAAGTGGTCCTCCAATTTTTCCAAAAAACTGGTTACCGGTGAGTTTCCATTAAATGTTGCTTCTGGTTTCATCGAAGCGCGCATGGTCTGGACGATGTAACCAAATCCTTCCAGGGCGGCAGCTGGCATTTCTGGATTCTGAGCCGCTTCTGCAGGCAGCACAGGTTCTTCTTGAAACTCGGCCATGGTTATTCTTCTTCGTTGGGCGCCACTATCAGGTTCAATGTTCCGCCTTACTTTCTTTGGGAACATGCAAGGACCTGACTCGGAACAGGGAACTTACTAAAGCTATTTTCAATAAATGTGGGAAGTAGACAAGATACACGGGAAGGGTATACGAAAGCCTTTATTTTTCACTCTTTACAATAATTTCCGTACTTCGGAATACAGAGACCAACTACTTGTGGTCTGAACGTAAGAATATAAATAATATTTAACTAAACTCTAACTTAACTTTTGAATAATAAACAAGGGCCTACGTGGAAGATTGGCCTTATATTAACAGGAAGCCTTATGTAGTACAGAGAACTGTTAACACTACAATACGTTTAAAAATTATCACCAGGATTAAACCTCTGGCCTCGAAGGCAACCAGCAACTGAGTAAAACTGCTAAGGTAAGCGGCCTGCTTCGACTAACTCCTTCCTCTCTCTCGCTTGGCAAAAAGCCACAACTTAAGTACTTGGCGTTCGCCAGACAAATTTGCATAAATAATTTAAAGCTTTTAATTCTGGCCGGAAGTAGAAAATAAGAAGTGATAGTAAAGATTTAAAATAAAATAAACGTTAGTAAAACTTAAGATCCTTACAATCTAACCTCAAATTTTTTTTTGTCTTGATTCCAATGCTGAAAACTGATTTAACTATTTCTTATTTAAATTTTCAGCAAATAAATTTTTTCATGAATTGTATGTATTTTTAATGTATATTAAACGCGTATTATTTTTGTTCCTTGTGATGCAATGTAATTCACTCAAATAAATAAAAAATATGTCAGCAAAGAGTGAAAAATCATTTAACCAATTCCTCATCTCGCAATTCAGTAAAGTCGTTAATCCCCCCCTTAATCAGCTCACTCGTGCTGTTGATTTGACGTATAAAATTGGGTACGAAGGAGATGAAAATGTTGCATAATGATTTCATAACGGGCCGGATTTTAAGCTATGAGAAGGGCCGGCTTTGCCCAACTCTATTCTAAGTGCTTACTTCGTGTCTAGAGCTCAATAGCTCAATATATGTATAGTATGTGTATATATATATGTAAGATAAAATTATATGAATCAGAATTATAGTATAACTATAAACATTAATTCTTCCTCTCTATTCTAAAATCGTAATAACTTATCTGCATTGCGTCATTCAAATTAATCATGCGATCTTACGTAACCGTTAATACCAGATGCCTCTGGACGACCAATCACCGAATTGTAAACCAAAACTTTTCTCTTCGCGTGCTTCCATCTTTCATAACTACGCACTTCAGCTTTTGCTCTCTACTTTGCTAAGATGTAATTTCGCTGGCTTGCTTTCTATCTTAACAATATCAAAAATGTAAATCTTCTGTGGAAAGGCACGACTAGAGTGCCAAGTGATTGTGGCCACAAATATCAATTGGAAATAAAAATGGAATTAAAACTGCCTCGACTGCCAAAGTTCTTTAAATACTACGCAATCAAAATTCTTCTTCAATATGGATCTAATCACGCATCGACAGTGTTCCGTTTTTCCTTTGTGCATTTATTATGACAATTAAGCCGGTAAGGATAGTTTCCTGCAGCCTGAAACCTCAATGGAAAATTTAATTCAGCTCTTTAAATCATCGTTTTGTGATAAATCCAAGATAATGTGAAAGAAGTAAATCATCAAGTTTTGTTTTTTCAGTGTTTAAAAAATAACAGATTATTCTTCTACTATGGTGTTTTGAAAGTGCTTCAAAAGAATAATCACGCGTAGTGTTTACAGATTGAAAGTAATCTCTCGATAAATTGAGAAGTTCGAATGCTAGTGAAAAAGGAAATCATCAGTGAATTACCGTTTAGGAATTAAGCATTACAGCGGGTTCAAAGTCGATCTGAGTTAGTCTTCGCAAGTATGTGCGACAGAAAATTATTTGCACTTCCGCTTTTTCAACAGCTCAAAATTATTACATTCGTGTGAATCTAGCTCTGGAACTAAATTATTTAATGTGCTGCGGATTCAATAGTTTTCATTTCAACTTTAGTTAAAATTTCTGCAATTTGTTTTGAGAAAATCTGAAATTCTTGTTCATTAACTTTTCTAATTTTTCATAATTATGTGTGAGCAAATTAAGTAACGAATTTTAAGCTATTTAAATTATTCATAGGGAAATATATTAAGATAAGTTTTTATGTTTTGAAAATTTGTTGAGAATTTTGATTACGAATTTTATAATTATTCTAAAAATGAAGTAGACCTGTAAAAAATAAGTCAAATTAGTACAGATAAATAATATGAAATTTATGGTAAATGTATGCTAAAATTTATGGGTTATTGTGTGTTAAGTATAGTATGATGAGGGTGTACTGGTTCCTTCAAGCAGAGGCCTGTAATTACCTATGTACAGTTGTTCCTTTTACCCTCTTCATGCAAGGATAATGTTGAGGCTCTCATTTTATGAGTGCATGTAAATTTTTTATATTATTATTATTATATTTTTTTTATTATGGAATGTATTAGTGCAGTTCTCAAAGGCCAGTTACATTAATGCAAGGAACGGAGGCCTTTCCATGTAACTGTCTAGGCACTCTGGGCCACCAGTGCAGAGAATACACTGGCTAGCTCAAGAGGACAGCCCTATTGATGGATATGTTTGTTTGGAAGTATTGCGAGGCCTTCCAGTTTGGTAAAATCAGGAATTGCAAACTGAAAGATAATAACGGTGAAAACCATAATTTTCTGAAAGCTGTTACTCCTATTATATTTATGGTGTTCAAATATAATTTATCAGTATAGAAATTAAGTATCATAAATATTTAATGTGCATTACATTTAATTATAAGTAACGATTATGTAAAAGTTTTATTTTGTGATATTCTGTAATAACAAGAACCTTCTCTGAAGAATTATGATTATGTGAATTCTCAAACAAAAAGACTTTTTGGACTGAAATGCTGAAAAATTCAATAGGACTCTAAAAATGAAAAATTTATTTAAAAAATTTGATATTTATAAATTATAAATTATACTTTACAGGACAAAGATTTAATGATTTTTTTTTTTTTTTTACATTTGCTAGTGCTTTAACTCTTTCTCTTTAAAAAAGGCTTCTTTGTCGCTACGCCTTTTTCTTTTTGAAGGGGGGAATATGTAACATAAAATTATATGAATCAGAATTATAATATAACTATAAACATTAATTCTTCCTCTCTATTCTAAAATCGTAATAACTTATCTGCATTGTGTCATTCAAATTAATCATGCGATCTTACGTAACCGTTAATACCAGATGCCTCTTGACGACCAATCACCGAATTGTAAACCAAAACTTTTCTCTTTGCGTGCTTCCATCTTTCATACTACGCACTTCAGCTTTGCTCTCTACTTTGCTAAGATGTAATTTCGCTGGCTTGCTTTCTATCTTAACAATATCAAAAATGTAAATCTTCTGTGGAAAGGCACGACTAGAGTGCCAAGTGATTGTGGCCACAAATATCAATTGGAAATAAAAATGGAATTAAAACTGCCTCGACTGCCAAGTTCTTTAAATACTGCGCAATCAAAATTCTTCTTCAATATGGATCTAATCACGCATCGACAGTGTTCCGTTTTTCCTTTGTGCATTTATTATGACATGTATATGCATATGAGTGTGTATAGGGATATTCTACTTAATGAGGTGAAAATGTCAAAATATGAGAAAAAATTATGTATGTTATGAGTCTACAACTTAGGTAGACCTTTTTTGATATAAGTGAAACCTCACTCGTGTTTTTTCTCTTAACAGGAAGAGCGAGCTTTTTGTGGACAATCCTGGTGATAATGATCGCATCTTGGTTCACCTAAACATAAGCCTGCCGAGATTACACTGTACAGGTAAGTATTTGATTATGAAAAAATTGAGTTAAATTAATTTACTGTAAAAAGATGCACGATTTCTGGCTGTACAGTGAAGGTCTTCCAATCTAGAATGTTAGATTGGTTTTAACGGGGGGGGGGGGGGCATCCGATTCCATAAACTATTTTTAAAAAAATTCAGATTTTATATATTGGCTCACCAGCGGCCGAGGGGTAAAGACGCTGAACACTGGTAGTTCGGTCTGAGGTTCGAATCCCGCGAACGGGCTGGCTGCATGACCGTTTTCATGGTTTTCCCCATGTGTAACGTGTATACGAGCCAGTTTCCCTTAAAAAGTCCTTCACGAAGGCATCCCTTCCCTAAGGCAGATAGAATTAGTGTGCTTTGCCATAATTAAATACACACACACACACACCATTATTTTGTAGCATTTTTTTTATCTGCTGCTTTACAGAATTCGCTTCATAGGCATGTATATAAAATATTAGAAAATAAATAAATGGGAAAACACAGCCCTGTGTTCGATATGCGATCCATCAACATAAACCATGCAATTTGATGAATGAACGCACGAAGCAGTCCCGGATGAATGTCAGCAGTTTGTCGTGTTACGCTTACTTTCGTATCATCCTTATATGTTTTCCATGTAGCCACAATTTTGGACATATTTTGACTGCCAGAAGTAACAGACTTAATACCGTGTGTACTAAACATTTGATAAAATTCTGAAGATAAATAATAATCATTTAAACTAACATGAAGCATTTTTTCACTTATTGGTTAATGAAATCAACGCATCTTGTTTGATTTGGCAATCTGTAGTTTTTTCTACAGAAAACTCACGGCAAATTATTCCACAAGAAAAAAGCATTCAATCGCTGATTCAAGACTGTGCTAAGGGCCCACCAGCGGCCGAGCAGTAAAGTCGCTGAACACTGGTAGTTCGGTCCGAGGTTCGAATCCCGCAAACGGGCTGGCTGTATGGCCGTTTTCGTGGTTTTCCTCATGTGTAACGTGTATACGAGCCAGTTTCCCTTAGAAAATCCTGCACAAAGGCATCCCTCCCATTAGGCAGATAGCCCTCGTGTGCTTTGCCATAATTGAATAATCCAATCAGATTTTATATTACGTTCAAAAAGGGCATTTTATTTTTTGTTATTACCGGATTACCTTTATTTATTGAATGTCATGTTCTTCGCACTTAAACCACATAAAATTCAATTCAACAGCAATATCACAAAATATTAAAAACATCATATCTTTAAAATTTCTGATCCACAGTCTTGCGAGCTGGGGGGGGACTGAATGGTTTCATATTTTAAATTACGTCCAAAGGAGCATTTTTTTAACGTTTTGTGTGTTACTTTTATTTATTAAATATCATGTTCTTCGCACTTAAACCATAAATTTCAGTTCAGTAGCAATGTCGCAGAATAATTTTAAAATGAGCATATCTTTAGAATTTCCAGTACACAGTTCTGGCTGGAGCGCCAGCTGGAGATAAAAAGGTTTATTTTTCCCTGTCGCAGAGTGTTGCCATTGCTCGTTTTTAAATTGTTCAGTTTGTTACGCAAAAATTTGTTAAAGTTTTACAAAATATGAAATCTATAATAAAATCAATTTCAAATTTGGCCTTCCACATGTCCATATTCGTAGGAGGATTACGTCATTTAAAATTCGATGGCTCTATGTACCGTTGTTTTAACAGAATGCGAGAAATAGATATACATTTATGCAGAGATTTCATTATTTAATTTCTTCAAATATAGTGCAGGACTCTAACATTCGGGTAGCAACAGTTTGAAAAGTGAAACGGACATTTATAGTGATTCAACGCAAAATCGCAAAACGAAAACAATAATCCTTCAGGGACAAAGCGGCTTTGGACGAAAAAAGCTTTCAGAATTTATATTACGCCCAAAAGGGTGTTTTTTTAATGTTTTGTGTGTTACCATTATTTATTGAATATCATGTTCTTCGCATTTAAGCCACATAAAATTCAGACACAATTGAACAGCAGTATCGCAAAATATTTAAAAATAGTATATCTTTAGAATTTCCGATACACAGTCTCGCGCGCTGGGGATTTTTCCCCCCCTTCCCCATACAGTTATGCCACTGCTCGCTTTGAAATCGTTGAGTTTGTTAATCAAAAATTTGTTAAAGTCTTACAAAATTTGAAATGGATAATAAAACAAATTCAAAATTCGGCCTTCCAAGTGCCCATGTTCTGTTGGAGGACTGTGTTATTCAAAATTTGGTGGTTCTAGGTACCGTTGTTTTTTCAGAGTGCGAGAAACATTCATGCATTCATACAAATTCTTCATTATTTAGTTTCTTTAAATATAATACATGGCAATAATATTTGGTAGCAACAGTTTGAACCAAGGCAGAAAGTGAAACGACAGGAAATGCCGTTTTGAGACTATAACGGGCTATAAGACTATAACGACTATAAGGGCTATCCCTTTGGGCTTTAAAAAGAAGATATTATTTAAAATTAACTGATGAATTTCTATAGTTAATTCAGAGAAAAATAATAAAAAATTTCATCACCAAAGACGAATTTTTCAATAAGAATTAGTTGCTTTACTTCCGATGGCTTCATTGGTTCATTCAGAATATATCTATCATACGCAACATTTTCAGTCCATGTTTCAAAGTTATTAATTAGCTTCTTTACTTTCCTTTATTTAATGATTTCTAATTGGTGACTTGAGCATAAAGTTGCATTTTGCTGTGGCAATGAATTTGAAGTTTTGACATAAACTGTGGTTATTTAACAGTTCTTCAGCTAGTAATTTGGTAATGTAATAGTTGGTGTATGTATAACTATTTTAATTTTTTTCCTTCACCTTATTCGTCTTTAAGCGTGATTGAATTTCTAAAATCGGAAGTGCCTGAACTCTGTGACTGGCCGTCAGGAAATACAGACAAAAATTACTAATAAAATAATTCATTAAAATTCGATGAAATGTAAAGAGTTGTATAAAAATTTCATGAGTTATATTAAATTAATCATAAATAGTTAAATAACGAAAGTACCAGATCTCATCTTATTGAGGGCTGTCACTAAAATTACATTTTCACTTAAAAACTAAGAAATACCACAGCTGTTATGCCCTAAATATACAATGTAATGCACTATTTCAAGGGACCACAAAAACAAATATCGTTTTTTCTGCAGCACACTAATGAAAAATTCTGATGTGTACACCACATGACTTCCTTGTACGGAATATTAAATTATACACGTTTTTTCTTGCATTTCATTTAAACTTATTGGATTGAATTAAATCTACTTCGCCGACAGCGCATAAACCACAATAGAATAAATGCATTCTTTAAAATTCACTCTAGTATTGTTACCATGGCGACACTCTGGCGCTTAGATTCACTTAACAGCGTTATATTTTGTTCATATTATAACTAATAATGCACAAAATTTATATTATTTAAAGAATAGAAGTATCTAATCGTTGCCACATGTTGTATTCAAATATTATAATAAAGCTAGAATGATGTATAAAAGAAATTAAGCAAACAAAACAAAAAAGAAACAGATTTCACAGAAAATTGAGTGTTTCTCATTCAATTAATTCAGTTCTCACTTCGCGAGAAGGCAAAAATACATAAAAACTCAGAATATCTATATTAACAATTATTAAGTAAATCTTAAATACTTATTTCCTCGAAAAAATTCCAGAAAGGATTAAGCATGATTTAATTGGCAATAATAAATGAAGGCATTACCTTTGTTGTTGCAAAGCTGAGTTTCTCTAGATTGGCAACAAATCCACTAGTCTGCTGTTTTAAATGTAAACAATCAATGGCCGCCATAAAAAAAAAGGCTTAATGGCACTTAAGCAACTTTAAAATTGTTGATAATTCTAAAAATATTGCATACAGATTTACTAAAGGCATACAACCTTAATGGAAGATAAAAAACACTAATTCAATCATTTTTAAAGCAAAAAATGTATAATTTACAAACATATAAGAGTAAAAAACTGGATCACTGAGCTGGGTAACAGAGTGGATATATATATAATATATTTATATACGTTGGTGCGGCCGATTGCAACCAAATACGAGGTGCACATCTACATGTTATAGCAATCTATATTCAAAATTTCAACATTCTGAGGCTACTCGTTTTTGAGTTATGCGAGATACGTACATACGTTCGTACAGACGCCACAAAAAATTCTCTTCAGAATTAATTTTAAAGCAGTTTTATAATTTTTTTTTTAGGAAACGAGTCTTTTATTCTGTCCTTACGTACAGATATCATGCAAAAACATCGTTAAATTGCATTCGATAGTGGTCAAAATGGATATTTTTGTTGAAATATGCTGTCTGAAACTTTTCGCGATTACAATACTTCCTTTTTACTTTGTACAAGGAAGTAAAAAGGCTTAGCGGCACTTAAACAACTTTAAAATTGTTGATAATTCTAAAAATATTGCATATAGATTTACTAAAGGCATAAAACCTTAACCGGAAGATAAAAACAACATACTTCAATCATTTTTAAAGCAAAAAATGTACAATTTACAAACATTAAGATAAAGAAACTGAGATCACTGAGCCGGGGTAACAGAGTGGATATATATATAAATATATATATATAAATATATATATATTTATACGTTTGGTGCGGCCGATTGCAACCAAAATACGAGGTGCACATCTACATGTTATAGTAGTCCTATATACAAAATTTTAACGTTCTGAGGCTACTCGTTTTTGAGTTATGCGAGATACGTACATACGTTCGTACAGACGCCACGAAAAATTGTCTTCAAAATTAATTTCAAAGCAGTTTTATAATTGTTTTGGAGGAAACGAGTCTTTTATTCTGTCCTTACTTACAGATATCACGCAAAAACATCGGTAAATTGCATTTGATAGCGGTCAAAATGCATATTTTCGTTGAAATATGCGTCCTGAAACTTTTCGCGGTTGCAATAATTCCTTTTTACTTCTTACGAAGTAAAAAGGGTAAACGGTAAAAGAAGTAAAAAGGGTAAAACGGTTAAAAGCTCA